TAAAATAAAAATAGATAATAATAATAAATGTGTATATTGCATAGCTCGCAAATAACAATTAATCGTTTTACTATTTACAGTCTGCTCGCGAGATTAATCGAATAAACTGATACTCACTCGCTCTCGCTCTGCTTTTCTGTTAAGCGCCTTGAGTTGAATTGTTCGTGTGACGCTCTTTGAACGAACATCGTTTAACGAACGATACGATTGGCGTTCGCATAACGAGAGCCAGTAAGTGGGAAAGAGGAAGAGTCAAAAAATGTCAATGCAAACGGTCTGCACATGCACATACACATGCACACTCAATTCACGTACACAATGGATGTGTTTAGCGACCACATACACTCGCATACACAAAGAGCTTTTGCTTCAATCTCAACCAATCGGGTCGGGCAAGCGAGAAGAGCAACAGAAAACAACAACAAAAACGTCTTCGAGCCGATCGCGAAAGAACTCGTTAAAGAACCGATGCAATCGGTTGCTCTCTGAGTTTCTTTTTTCGCAGAGTGTGAGTAGAAGACATTTAGTTGCTGACATCGAGAAACGGTTAACAGTTATTCGTGTGCTATGCTATATTGATGAAAGTGTTTGCAGTTGAGCCCCCGCAAATATTTTCAATCAATTATAATATGAATTATTAATGTTCTCAATGCAAATTTAATTGTTGGCAAAAATAAATATAAATAAAAATAAAAATCAATTTACGTATTTGTTATGCAAATGCAGCTCACTTTGAATGTTTCACAATTAGAATTAAGTCTATTTAAATACTGTAAACAAGTTAAATACAAACAAAGTACTTATAATAAATGTAATTTAATTAATAGACAAAAAAGATGGTTGGCATTTCAAATGAAAAAAGTTTAAACCAACAACAATTTGTTACTTGTTATAATTGCTGTAATTCGGTTATAATATTAGCTATTTAATTATTAAGTAAGTAAATTACATGCTGCTAATTATGAAACTATAATAATTCATGTAAAGCTTGTTTATTAAATTGTAATAAATTACACCAGAAAATAAATATATAAAAAATAAAACTTGCTGCGTAAGTATTGAATTTTAAATTTAACTTTTTCGCTTTAATTTAAATTTGTGCAGCAATTACGAGAATCGAGAAAGTTTTCTCATAATTTAAAATTTGCAGGAAAATATGGAGTCAGCACTAAAGCCATATAAGAATGTGGAATAAAAAACATATTAATGAACTTAAATTTAAATTATGCCAAGAGGAAAGCAAGTGAAAGTTGAAAGAAAGGACGCAGTGAAACTTTTGAGACTCAGCTGGATAGCTTAGTCTCGGCTTATATGGTAAATAATATACTTAAATCGTGCTCAGCAGCCAGAGAATTCCATAGAGGAGCAGCGCCTGCAGCAGTCAATTATTTGGAATGATTATTTCCCAAATAACTGTGTTCTGCTCCCTAAATATTAAATTTCAAGCTATTGATTTCTCGCCTTGGGGCTTTACAAATGGCCAGCTGATGGCTGTAATTAGCTTATTTATAACTTGATTCTGGAGTTTAACTTTCGCTTCAGCTTCGTTAATTAGACTCATTTATAATTGTAATTTCAGTTAAGCGACTTGGAAAACTTTCCCAAATTGCGCCCAGGTCTAAAATTGCTTTATAAATGGGTTTGTTATGACAGTTTGAATGGTGTCCATATGCTCAATGACAAAGTGCGAGAGTCGCATATTTTCTGCGCTCTATTAATTATAAAATTGCCATTGATTTATATGCAATAAATAAGAATGAAAACTGAGATCTAGAATCATATTTACTTGAAGTGAATAGTCTCGTAAGACCTTTAAATAATGAGCAAATATAGTGAATATTTGGATAAATATTAAAATGTGTTACAGGGAATTTAATTAAAAAATAATTATATACATCAGCATACATATATAAAATTGCAGCACATTGAATTAAATTTAATTTCTTTTAATTCTTTATAAAATTGGATATCAACATCAAGGTAAGCAGCTGTTGCTGCTGCTCATATGCCAACAATTATGGCAATTGATTATCTTTTTATTAAGCATACGCACTGTTCCGCCTTTGTGTATTAAATGAAAACTTTTCATATGAAATTGATTGAAAAACTTTTGCCTAAAGCCGCAGCAGTGAGGCAAACAAATTGCGGCAAAGGCTTGGGCCAACTCATGCATGGATCGTTAAGTGCAGCAGCCAGCAGCCAGCAGCCAACAGTCAACAGCTTGGGCTGAAACCGTTAAAGCTTTAGCATTACACACACACACACACACACACACACACACACACACACACACACACACACACACACACACTCTTAAACACATGCATACATATCCATCGAAATGCAGGAGTGCATTTGAAGTGTGTGCTGCTGCAGACCCTCAACAGGCAGCTGCCTGCCCGACTGCAGCACCCTTTGCATATTAGACTTACAACAACAATTAGCAGGCAGTTGACAGCTTTAGCTGCCGCTGCTGCTGCAACTGCATCTTCAGCTCTTGGCCTTTTCGGGTTTGCCCATCAACGTCAGCCCAGCTGCTTTGCTGCTTTGACGCTGCTCCGTTGGATCACTTGTGGTGTGGATGTCATTTGCCCGATTGTAGTGGCAACTTTAAGGCTGTTTGCAACAAGTTAACGCAGCGCCCCTGCCAAAGGCAGCCATGTTGCATGTGGCACTCATAACACAAATACGGCTCAACCACTGCCAGGGGCAGCCAACCGACTGTGCAACTCTGCAACTGTGCAGCTGTGCAACTGGCTGTGCTCATTCAGCCGTGGAACCCTGCGCCTTTCCTGTCTCGTCGCATCTAATGAGTCTCATTACAGTAATTACGTGATGTCTGCTATAAGTGGCGAAGCTGCTGCATTTGATAATGATATATGTGTGGCTGCGCCTGTTTGTGTGGGTGTGGCTTTGTATGTGTTTGTGTGTGTGGTTAAACGTTGTTTGCTAACTGCAGGCAAAAATCAGAGCTACATCATGCTGCGCTTAACTGATTGCCATGTTATCCGGCAAGTTAATTGAAAGATATGATATGACATGATATTTATATTTAATATATTTTATATAATATATAAGAACTGAGCATAGCACAAGGAGATATACAGCACGGTAAAAAGTTCTTTATAATAAATTTAGAAACATTTTCTCTTATGTTTTTTATATGGAAAAATCTTGCACTTCAGCATTTTCATTACTATGCTCATAAGTATGCTTATTCTTATCACTATATTTCCCATGCTCCCTTTAAGGACCTTAATTAATCTATAAAAAACAACTGGCTGCTTGAGCCAAGTGCTTAGAGTATATTTATTATCACATAATGCATTGCACTTGACTCAAGCATTCCTGCTCGCTGCATCCTTAGAGCTTGGCTTCGCTTGCCTTGCTTTGGCTTGGCTTGGCTTTGTGCAATCAGCTTATAGTGCTGTCTAGCTACGCTTTGCCGTGCTGCCACTTAACTACACCTGAGTTGCTCGCAGCCAGCTCGTGGGTGGCACAGATTGGTTACGTGTGTGCCGCCTCATCATGAGGTTTACTTGCAGTTCTGTTATTGAATATCATCGCAGGCAGGCCGGGTGTGCCATCAGCAGCGATTGGTAATGGGATTTATATGTTCCCCCATGTGCGCAGCTTCGCTCCAACAAATTTAAATCAATTATTTGATATCAAATAGACTCGCAGCTCGGAGCCGTAACTAATGCTGGAACTCATTTAGCTAATGGCCACTTACATTAACGTGTAATCAGCTTAATTTGTAAGCCACTATTTCCACATCAAATTTAGCTTAGTTTTCATAAAATATATATTCTTAAGCGACATTCCACTCGAAGCGCCTCATTAGCTGTCTTACCTGACTGATGCCAGACACGTGCCACTTACCTGGGCTCGCATCTTCCGGCTTAAAGGTACAACAATTAAACATGTCTTAAAGCCAAGTTTACTTTAAGTGTTGAGGCTCTGAGTCTAAATGAAAACTTTGGTGGAATTTTACTTTAATTGAATGCTCTATTTTATATAGAATATCTACAATGCGCATATTCCTTTCTATGTAAACACATAAATATATATTACATATAAACATATACTAAATTTACCACTACATAAAACGCCTGGTTTAACAAAAAAATTATTTCGTTAGCCGCCGTAGAAAAAGAAATAAGGTCCAAGA